GAGGGGCGAAGGGGGGGGGGGGCGTAGCTCTCTATGTCAAGGATAGCTCCGTGTCCCTGCAAGCTGATACTGGCAACCAGGGTGGACTACTGGAGGCCCTCTGGGTTAAAATCTGTGGGGAGCACGGTGCAGGGGACACGATGATGGGAGTCTACTACAGACTTCCTACCCAAAATCAAGAGCTTGACCAGGAGCTTGCCAGGGAATTGGCTGAGACCGCATGCTCCTGGCCCATGGTTGTCATGGGAGACTTCAACTACCCACACATCTCATGGGAAGAATGCTCAGTCAAATCCAAGCAGTCGCAAAGCTTCCTCTCGTGCATGGATGACCTCTATCTGACACAAGAAGTCTACGGGCCAACAAGAGGTAAAGCGCTGCTCAACCTGGTACTGGCAACCGGGGATGACCTAATCGGCGACCTAACAATCGATGGGAAGCTGGGTGACAGCGACCACAAGCTGATCACCTTCACCATCTGCCGTAAAGCTGGCAAGACAGTCAGCAATATAGACGTCCTTGACTTCAGGAAAGCTGACTTTAACAAGCTCAGGAGGCTTGTCCGTGAGGACCCTAAGGGACCACGACCCCAACGGGAGGGGAGTTCAGGAAGAGTGGTTGCTCCTCAAGGGAGCAATCCTGCATGCACAAGCTAATGCAATTCCGTCTCGTAAGAAAGGCAGCAAAAGGGCACAGCAGCTCCCTTGGCTCTCCAGGGATCTAGCAGACCTCCTGCGGCTAAAAAGAAAGACCTACAAAGAATGGGGGATGGGATCCACCTCCAAGGAGGAATATTCCGCAATGGTCCAAACCTGCAGGGAGCGAACAATGAAAGCCAAGGCTGCGGCTGAACTCCAACTAGCTACAAGTATCAAGGACAATAAAAAGTCCTTTTTTAGATATGTGGGGAGCCGGAGGAAAAGCAAGGGCAACACTGGACTGCTGGTAAACCAGAAGGGACAACTGATGCCCAGGAAAAAGCCAACCTACTAAATGGGTACTTTGCACTGGTCTTTCATCAATCCCACGGGACGCCCCTACCCATTATGGGACAGGGAGGCCTGGGTGAGGGAGATTCCTTGTCCTCCATCAATGCTGACATTGTGAAGGAACACCTTGAGAGGCTGGACACCTTCAAGTCAGCTGGCCCTGACAGTTTACACCCCAGGGTACTCAAGGAGCTGGCTAGTAGCTAGCAGCCCCTGGCAAGGATCTTCGAGAACTCCTGGCGCTCTAGTGAAGTGCCCAAAGATTGGAAGAAGGCCAATGTGGTGCCTATCTTCAAGAAAGGGAGGAAAGTGGATCAGGCAAACTACAGGCCCATCAGTCTGACCTCTATCCCAGGGAAGGTCTTAGAAAAAATCAACAAAGAGGCCATTTTCAATGGACTGGCTGATGGCAACATCCTGAGGAATAGCCGGCATGGGTTCGTTGCGAGTAGGTCTTGCTTGACCAACTTCATTTCCTTTTATGACCAGGTGACCTATCACCTGGATAAGGGAGAGGAGACTGATGTTGTATATCTTGACTTCAAAAAAGCTTTTGATCTGGTATCCCATGATCACCTCTTGGCAAAACTGGCCACCTGCAGCCTCGAGTTCACCACAATCCGCTGGCTGGGGAATTGGCTCCGTGGTCGGACCCAGAGGGTGGTAGTTGATGGAAATCAATCATCATGGTGCCCTGTGACCAGTGGGGTCCCCCAAGGCTCTGTCCTTGGGTCTATATTGTCCAACGTATTCATTAATGATGTGGACATTGGAGTCAGAAGTGGACTGGCCAAGTTTGCCGATGATACTAAACTTTGGGGTAAAGCATCCACACCTGAGGACAGGAGGGTGATCCAGGCTGACCTTGACAGGCTCAGGAAATGGGCAGATGAGAATCTGATGGTGTTTAACACCAAATAATGCAAGGTTTTCCACCTTGGGAGGGAAAACCTGCAGCATCCTTATAAGCTCAGCAGTGCTATGCTGGTTAGCACTACGGATGAAAGGGACTTGGGGGTCATGACTGACCACAAGATGAACACGAGCCTTCAATGTGATGCTGCGGTTAGTAAAGTGAGCAAAATGCTGGCTTGCATCCATAGATGCTCCTCAAGCAGATCCCAGGACGTCATTCTCCCCTTGTACTTGACCTTGGTGAGGCCGCAGCTGGAGTACTGTGTCCAGTTTTGCGCTCCACAATTCAAAAAGGGTGTGGAGAAGCTTGAGAGAGTCCAGAGAAGAGCCACGTGCATGATCAGAGGTCAGAAAAACAGACCTTATGATGACAGGCTGAGAGCCATGGGACTCTTTAGCCTGGAAAAGCGCAGGCTTAGGGACAATCTGATGGCCACCTATAAGTTTATCAAGGGTGTTCACCAGGATCTGGGGGAACAATTGTTCACTTAGAGCCCCCCCAAGGGATGACAAGGTTGAACAGTTATAAACTCCTGCAAGACCGTTTCAGGCTGGACATAAGGAAGAATTTCTTCACTGTCCAAGCCGCCAAGGTCTGGAATAGCCTGCCACCAGAGGTGGTTCAAGCACCTACTCTGAATGCCTTCAAGAGAAAATTGGATGTTTATCTTGCTGGGATCCTGTGACCCCAGCTGACTTCCTGCCCCTAGGGCAGGGGGCTGGACTCGATGATCTTCCGAGGTCCCTTCCAGCCCTAATGTCTATGGAATTTATGAGTCTATATGCCCCAATTCTGATGTTATTTTAATACGCTGAGTGCCCTGTGCCCCAGTTTTCCCCCAAATTCAATCTATTGCTAAGCAATATTTTCCAGGCATCTTAACAAAGTCCAGGCACAGTTTAATACAAAACTTGAGACTTTTTTACCCACATGTATTTCTTTTCCCTTACTTCAAAATCCCAATTTATAACAAGTCCACTTTCTGGTAGAATGGAAGACAGTTCTTCAATGATCTAGTCAATGTAGGCTCTTAATATAGGGCCCTTAAGGAACAGAAAGTGCTCCCACTTCTTGAAACTGTGTTTTCATTTAGTCACTTTTTGCCTTTGTCATGCCAGGCCTTGGTGATTTAAGAACTATTTCAAAAAGTGAAGTAAAGTTAAATAGTCAACAAAGAACATAATGTAAGAGTGAACTGCTTCACTACAGTTAGATTACTGAAAGGGATTCATTCTTGCTCTTTACAGTCAGAGGACATTAACAAAAACTGTACCTAATTGTGCCTCTTTTGCCATTTGTGTCTCATGGATGATGTTCCTCAAGATTTGCTCCTCCTGAATCAGCTTGTGCTTCTCTAGGATCTCCTGTTGCCTCAGGTAATGGTCATGCTGCTTTTGATACTCCTTCAATTCATTTAACGTTCGCTGAAGTGATCTTGAAAATTTGACAGCAGAAAAGGGTTACATCAAATTGTTTTCCCATAGTTTTGCATATTCACAACTTCTGGTTGCTTATGCTTTTGGTTTTCTTTATTATTACCATTATTCAAAGAGAACAATCCTGATTACAGGACTACCCCCCCCATACATAGATTTTATACTTGGAAAATTAATAAATTTGCTATTATTTTCCAGGTATATAATCTAATTATTGGAGGTTTGCCTTGAATTTGTCACCCTTCCACTGTTACAGCAGGGAAAAAAAATAAAACGGGGTCAGGTAGCCCCTTCTGCTCTCTGCTTCCCCACAACTTTTTTCCCCTGGCAGCCCCTTTTCCCTCTTCTTACTGTCAGACCCAGCTTTCCCTGAGCACATGGAAGTGAGGAACACATTTGAAAATAATAACTTTGAAATTAAACGCAGCTGTAGCAATTTGTACATAGCAGCCACACACGTAGTTCATCTGGAATTGATATGTTACCTTTTTTTGAAACTGCTGCAAGTTTTTGCACAGGTACTCTATAAACATACTTTTGAGCAGTACTTTGGCATCTATTTATGTGCAGTACAAACTATGCATGATATTAGTTCAAAGACAAAGGCTCATGATTTACCAAATAGCTCACTGGCCTGGGCACCAGCAGAGTCAACAGCATTTTAGGCCTGGTGATTCCACAGCTCGTATGTGTACTCCAGACACCCTCCACAAAGGATGCATGTGCTAATTAACCCCCACTCATGACTGGAGCCCAGTGTTCTTGTCATGAGTCCTGGGATGCTCCAAAAAATCTGTATGCAGATCAGGCACAGATCAGCCACACTAATTTATGTGATAGGCTGGGATAGTGGGCGACAGAGGGATTCCGGGTGAACTGTTTGAGGCCCTGTTCGGTGATGTTTGCCAGGCACTTAATGCTGGTAAAGAAACAGGAACCATTGGAAATGGGAAAGATTTGCACAGGTCAGCTATGGGAATGAAGAGGAGAAAATCAAAATGCATTTAATATTGTGGCACACCATGACTTTAAAAAGAGTCTGCGCTAAGGTGGACTGTGCTTAATGGACACCACATAAACTTATGCAGATGCTAAGATCCAGCATTTTTGGTAGCAAGTGGAGGATAGCTGGTCTGGCTCTGCCTCTCCTGTGCCAGCCTGGTATTGCAATAGCTCCAAGCCTGGTGCCAGTTCCCTGTGGAGAGATTATCTGCCAGGTTTTGTTTTTTTTTTTTACCCTAAAAAAGGTTCCCATTAGCATTTTTAGCACTAGGGGTGGGTTTTAGAGCTTGTTCTAGCCTCTCCAAGTGCCAGCCTGGTACTGGAGTACCTCCAGGCTCAATGCCTGTTCCCTCCTCGGGGAGCAACTCCCCCCACCCTTTTTTAAAGGATGCTTGCACTTCTGGGCCATGTGTTTTATAGCCATGCTCAGTGTTGGCTGCATTTAATCAACTGCACAGTTGGTTTCCATTGCAGATCACATGCTGCTTTTGGCAGCAGTTTAATGATAGACAATGTATTTAATGACGTTTCCTTGTATGTGATTATAAGACTAGGGTTTTTTTCACCCATGCCAATTGGGGGGGGAAAACCTCATCTTGTATTCGAGTAAAAACAGTGTTTGCGACCATGTGCAAAGTTACACAATACAGAAATTTAACATATTTAACTATTGCATCATAAGAGAGAGCAATAATCACTGGAGTAAAACTTTAAGGGAATGAGACCACTCAAGTAAGAATTTTCACTAGATTTTTCACAGGACATTTGTCTTGGTTACCTATGCTGAGCCTCCAGTTTCTGCTCAAGTTTTTGCTGACATAGGACAGCATGCTTCCTTTTTACAGCTTGCTCAAACCCTGGTTTGGCCTGTAAAGCATGATCATAACACAGGACTGAGTGGTTGTATTCCCCAAGCATCTGAAGAATAATTGGAAAAAAAAAAGTTAGAAACTGTTCTGTAAAATGTAACCAAGTTGCTTCCAGAGTTTTATTAGTAACATTTTTTTTTACTTCAGCTTGTAATGTATTTTAAAATCAGAAGCCAACCCCCCTCAGAAATTCAGGATGTCATGGGTAAATCAGCTAAAAGATGGTACTGCATTGTGCGATGCTCCAAGCAACAGATATAAATAAGCTTCTCTCTATTTGTTCAAAAGGACATTAACTCTTCTGCAAAGATGCCCGAATCCAAAAATTCAGTCTTAAACATCAAGCTTGAAAGATGACACAAACCGATTGCGTGATTGTTTGCTTTTTGAACGGCATATTAAAAAGAAAATGCTGCGACTAACAAAAGAGATGAAATATTTATCAGTTTTCTGTAGCTCTTGTAAAATAAAATTTTATTTACTGCGTAAATATTTCCCAAAGTGTAATAGCTGGTAAAGAAGTCGCTGTAATCCAGAGCTGCATGGACCACAATGGCTGCATCCGCAGAGAAATGAGCCCTGTGTAGAACATTTGCCAAATTTACCAGTGCAATATCTTTATTCTGCCTAAAAGAAAAGAAAAATTAAAACACACGCCATTAAAAAGCAGTTTGGATTATTCAGGCTGTCCTTATACATGATCCTCATGTAACCTTTAGTCACATATAACAAATATTTTCCAAAAATAAAGATTGTCAGCAAGTGTTAAAACTACATAATGCTGATTTGGTGCCTTGCTATTATGATCGAGCCAAAACATTATTCTAAAAACCTGTTTAACTAAATGAGCTGCTAGACTGACTAAGCATTCCTGAGGAGCTACTTTCCTGCAGAGAGTAGCAAAGTTTGATACCAGGTCATACATTTTAAGAGTTGATTTTTCCAGGCATTCTAAAACTTCACTGAATTGGAAAATACCATTAATAACCACTAACTCATCTGATTTTAAATTCTCCATTTTGTGTCCTTAGCAAAATTGCACACCCCCTGCCTTTGTTTTGTATATGAGGCATTTAATGGACTAAAATGCTCAGTTCCATTAACAATCCAGAACCACAAACTAAGCTCTCGGAGTGACGCACATCTAGGTATATCACTGAACTCCTTCCCGATAGTATCTGCATTAAAAAATGTATCATCCTAACATTCTCATAAAGCAAGGCATTTTTTTATGCCTGTATTTCTCTATAGAACAGGCAGAATCAACTAAGCAACCTCCAACAAGATCAGTTGTGTGGCAGAAGCAGGAACTGTTCCTCAGCTATAACAGACGTTTCTTCAGTTTTACCATCCCAAAAGCTGAATCCAGAACCACAGTAAGGCAACAGCACTGATCTCAAAGTACTCAAAGCAGTGATATCTTGCTACATTCAGAAAACTAAACAGTTTAATTTTGTCATAACAAGGACTACCTGAGGTTGGCTACAGCTGGCAGAAGCACAACTTCTTGAAGCACTAGCTTAAAGTAAATTTATAAACTCTAAAGAAAGCAATCACAATTTAACACTGGCTTCACAATGGGCCAGCAGATGTTTCTTCAGTACTGAGCATAATGGACCATCCCAATTACAAAGAACATGAAATAAAAATTACAAAGAACATGAAATAAAGCCCTTCACATTTTTCACTTTTCAGAGTTAATCAATTAACCTTATAGGAAATGCCTGTTTTCTCTTGTCCTCCTGTCCTAGTTAAACCTTCTTAAAATTGTTCATCTGAAATCCCACTGGATTTTTAAAACTGATAACTTGAAGTTGCATGGAAAAGCTCCTTTTCTCTTTGAGCCCCTACTTTAACATTGGTTAAAATACAATGCTGGACACAGATATTGGGTGGATATTAGAGGTGCACCGACACATTTGTCTGATATCGGATCATTACTGATATGAAGAAAAATGGCTGTACTGGATATCGGCCCAATGGGGCCAATAATTTGGCCGATAAATGCCCGTGCTGTGTGCAGCTGCAGTGCAGCACTCAGGCAGTGATGAGCAGAGTGGAGAGCTGTCGCCAGCTGGTAAGTCTGGTGTGGTGGAAGGAGAGTGGGGAGGAAGGGGCATGGGGGCTACAGATCAAGGCCCCTGCAGTGAGGAAGGGGACAGGGGCAGGGGCTGCCCAAGCAGGGTGGCGGGGGGGGGGGAAGCGGGTGGAGCCGTGGCTCATTGGGGGAAGGTGGCTCCTGCCACTGCTTGCACCTGGGGAGGGCAAGGGGAGGGGGGGAAGGGTCGTTTTGTAGCCAGGCTCTTCTCGACAGGGGCTGGGCACCAGTAGCCCTGGGAGTATGTTCCATCCACCCCAAATTTTGCTGTCGCCCTCCTCCCAGTGCCACCGCTGTCAGCCGCAGCTCCGGCTCACCGACCCACCTCCACCCATGTGCTGGTAAGAGCCGGGCTTGCGGCTGGTGGCGACGCTGGGAGCAGAGTGGTGGTGAAATCTGGGGTGGATGCAGTATCCTCCCAATGCCGCCGACCCTCACTCTGAGCCCAGTTCCCACCGAGAATTGCGCTGCGCAGCCTCAGCTGCAGCCAGCCCCCGCCACCCTGTGTAGGGCCGGGGGGAGGGGAGGGGGGGGCACATGCCGCCCCCGTGCCCTGCTGGGGTGCAAGCAGCAGCAGGAGCCACCTCCCCCTTCCTCCCGCCACCCTGCCTGGGTATCCCCTGCCACCTCCTTCACTGTGGTGGGCGTTGATCTGCCCCCCCCACACCCCTCTCCTCCCCTCCCACCACACCAGACTTACCAGCTGGAGGCAGCTGTATTGGAAATCAGATCGGTATTGGCCAATATGCCTCCCTAAATATCAGGTGTTGGTATCGGCCCCTAAATAAAGGTTGCTAACATACATTAGAGAACGTTTTCAGTAACTGTTTCCTCCTTAAACTAAGGAAAAGTCTGACAAAGGACTCTCATCAGCAGTTCTCACCTTGAGGAGAAGTGGAGAGCCCGCATGGCACACTCCACTACTTGATATGGCTCATTCTTTATTCGCCAATAAAATGATGCCATATTATAGAGCACCCAAGAAGAAGAGTTCTGTAAGAAACAAACATGAGATGCAACAAGAACCAAGGCAAGAACAAAAAGGCTGGTTAGAAATCCTCATTAATGACAGAGACTAAATTAAAAAACTAAATATTCCTGTCATTTAGTTGTTAGTATTCAAAAGGAGAGCAAATAAATGCATCAATAGGGAACTGGCCCCCAATGACGACTTTCAGAATGGTGTAGGTTTAGAACAGAATAGTGCAAACCAACAGCTAGATTTAAATTTGAATAATGAATGTGCTAGGGTATATCTGCAGAAAAACCTTTGAGGAAATGGACTTCGTTCCCTTGTTTCATGTTTTTGCTCTTTAAATACCTTGAAAATATTCAGCTAAACTTTGATGGGAAAGAAATGCATGCGATTTTTGTGCCTTGATATGCCACATCAGTTACTGAAGCTTAACACAAGTTATCAATTTACCCCTTTTGGGCTGCTCCTCACTGCATTTCTTGGTGTACTGAACATTGTCCAGGTACAAAAGTTCAGTTTGTAACAGAAGAATTGCCAGAATTGCTGAAGAATTATTCCCAGGAGACTGAACATTTGTACACTTTCCATTGGCTTAACTTCTGTCCTAGGAGATGTGGAGCCAGGGCAAGATGTGGAGCCAGGATGACACTAGGGTCATCCTTGTCTTGCAAAGGCCTAGGGGCAGCTTATGCCCCTCAGCTCCCCATCCCATTGTCAAGGAGGTGATGGGAGCAGCAAACATTGCTCCTTGCCTCTTCCCCAAATTTGCTAGTCCTTAGTTTTGGCAAGAGACAGGGGGCTTTGCTGGCTCCCAGAACCTATCCTCTGCTAACCTGCTCCCCAGCTGAGCAGCAAAGCAGTTATTTAAAAGCTGGAGTGGAAGAAATCAACGCTTAGTCACCAAATTTTAAATCGCTGCTCAGCTGGGCAGTAAGGGGAAGCTGGTGGGAGCCAGCAAAGCCCCTGCCTCTTCCTTTGTACACTTTCCATTGTACAAGTGTAGACATTTTTCCAGTCCCATGGTTGGAGATCTTGCTTGTAAAGCTCTCCAGCCATGGGACTGGAAAAATGTTTACAATCTAGTTCCCAGGCTATACTTCTATTAGAAGAAATTTCTTCCAGTAAAAATGAATGCCTATCTGGAACCATCCACTGGAAAACACATTTTTGAATAACGACATGCATACCAAGGATCTCAAGATTTGCTGGTATTTTAGCATGGTGAGTAGGATGCCCACAGCACATATAGTGGTCCTCACCTCAAATACCATGAAAACTTTTTAGTACACATTTTGGGCCTTCACAACGATGAATTTCCCTGGTATCATACCTTCATTAGACCTTCATAAATGCGATGGCCTATTTCTTCTATGCTTCTTCCTAACCGTCGGGATAAGTAAGTGAAGATAGGATCTTCTTTAGGTAACAAGGGTGCGGAAAGATTAACTCTCTCTTGAACACCCTACACCATGGGAAGAGAATGCAACAGATAACTAACACATTTTTAACAGAGCTAGGGAAGTAATGTTTTTAGAAAACAGTAGGTAATCATGAGAGTTAATAATGCAATACTTTATCATTCTGTAGCATGTTCTGTCTGAAGATCTGAATATACTTGACGAATTTTAAGCTGCATCCTTGAAATATAAGCATTATACTGACTCTTATGAGTAGGGAAACATTAAAAGAGAAATAAAATGTAAATATTTCCAAAAATAGCTTTTAGTACTGGATGCATGGGGTTATTTTTATTTACCCAACTTGATAAAAGCAAAACTAGATTTCCAGCTTCCACTGATTTCAGTGATAAGTATTTGGTTTCTCTAAGGGCCAGGCCCAAGATGCCTCAATTTGGACACTGCAAAAATTAAGAGCTCCCAAAAATGAGCTTTTGAAAAATAACTTATATGACTTGCCCAAGATGAGAGTCAGTGATAGAAAAAAGAAACAATTAAGAGGCCCTATCCTTGCTATAACCACAAGAATATTCTTCCTCTGCTTAAGACAGCAGAAGTATTTCAAGAGCTTCTGAGTGATTAAATATAAAGATCAAGAGATAGCTGCTAAGTGCAAGTGCATAATGTTGCTGCTACAGCACGGATGCTTAGAAATATAATTACTGTGCATTTCTATACTTGCCAAAGCCCTAGCATAGCTTCATCTTGTGATTTTTGCCTGTCAAGTCTATTACAATAGAGAACAAGACAAGTCATACTGACAAATACATTCTTTTGCTGACAAAGACTGCGTTTCTTGTACAAAGGCTTGCCAACATAAACTCTACCAGCATATCTTTTAGTGTAAATTAGGCCTTAATATTCAAAGTGTCAGATCCCTGTATAAGGCAACAGTGGACATTTACTTAGCCTTAGCTATGTGACAGTCAATGAACGGTCAAGTTTCTGGCAGTGAATCTCTATACATTGCAAAATGCCTGTAATCAGGATATATGCATGCAGCTAAATTAAATGCAAGATTTAAAACTAAAAAAACCCCTCAGAACAAAGCAAAAATATTTCCGGTGAAAGTTGCCATTTAACACTGATGAAGTACTAATGTAGGAACACACAAAAAGGTATTTCCGTAAAGCTGTAAAGTTTTATTCCTGTTAAAAGAGACGAGCAAGACAAAAAGTGACTTTTGGGAACTGCATACCTTTCTTTTATGAAAGAATACAATCAAGGCACAATACTGGTACTACAGAGGCAACGTGATCTCTAACAATAAGATCAAAATGATCCCGAAGGATAAAAATAAACTTTCAAATCTTGCCAATAAAAATAAGGTTGAGCAAACAGCTACCAGCAAGACCTTTACCTTCCCGATCAGGTGGCAGTGAGCAGTTGATGAAACAAGGGCAGGGGAAAAAGTCCTTCACAACTCACCCGTAAGTGCTGAAAAGCATGAATGCTGTATGGAAGATCTAGAACTTTTGTACAGTCTGGTTGTTGCAGGTCTGGAGGTACAGGAGACTTTGTGTCTACATAATCCTCAGGGCTAAAACCAGAAAGCAAAACAAACTACATACTAGAGCATGGATAAAGTCCAGAGGAGTCACTATTGATAAACAGAGTTAAAAGATGCATGGGGTAGGTATTCTGTGGTAGTTAGTGATCTCTGATCTAAAATGGCTTCTCTGAATTTGAGCAAGACAGCAGTGTAGTGGTATTCTCTCAGACTTCTGTTTCCATATCAGGAGTATCAGCGCTGCACACTGGAGCAAGGCCTGAAGTCAGCAAACTAATAGCTGTCTTATAAAAGACAGATTGGTAGTTATACGGTATTTGGGAGATTCTGGGTATCAATACATGTACATCTGGAGCCGTTTCAATATGGGAGAGGAACTCTTGCTCCAAACTGTAGCAGCTGTTCTGCTCTAACAGTACATGTGCAGGAGCTTGGAACCACTGCTTCATCCAGGATTAAAGTTGGAGCATAATTGCTACATTTGTGTGGCTCTCAGCTTGTCTATCTGGTAGAACCCAACAGCAGCTGCAGGCTTCTTTTCCGAAACGTTTCAAATGTGTGTGTTCACATCCTATGGCAATGCATTTCATAGGACATGTGTTGGTTCAGTGTTATTGTTTAATTAATCTTCCTTCTGCAAAGCAGACAATGTACATTCTGACCAGAGAAGCCTCTTACAGATGTGCAAATATTATGAACTAGGATGAGAAATAAAACAGATGTGAAAATGAGATTAGGAAATTCAGATTGGGAAAGTATTGTCTAAAACAGTGGTTCTCAATATGTTTGGTTAGGGCACTCCACAACTCTTCTGAATTTGGCTGTACCCATAGTTGAGAACCACTGTACTGCTTCCACTTACCTTGGTGTTTCTCAACCATGGTGCTGCCGCATGCTGCTGCCTATATTAGGGTTTTCTAATAAAAACCCTAAAGTAGGCAGGAGCAGAGGCACAAAATTCCTGCTCTGACCCTGCATGCTCTTTCCGGAAACAGAGAGGTGTGGGATAGTGCCAACTACCTGGTGTGCCTCAGTTTCCATGGGGAGCATGTAGGTCAGACTGGGAAGGGCTGCAAGAAGAGCCTGGGCTCCAGCCACAGCTACTTTCTCATCTGCCCCTAAAGGAGGCATGCAGGTCATTTCAACCTGGCTGTGGCAGCAATCACATTGTGGCACCCCTGGAATGAACTTGTGTCCCCCTGGTTGAGAACCACTGGTTTAAAATAAACCTCTTCTCACTTCCTCAACTACATCTATAGGCAGAGATCATCCCTGAAAATGTACCAAACTTCACACAGAAAACAAAAGACACGTGAGCACTAAGCACTGCAGCTAAACACCAGCCTTTTATATCCAAGGGCCCAAATTCATGTCCGTCTTGATTTAAAATTGAACATGACTATCGTGAATATGTTTCCTTCCCCCCTCCAAACCGCCACATTTCCTTATAGGACATTTGTCTACTATAAAAAAACCCATCCAGAATAACACACAAAAACATTTAAATACCTCACAGTTTTGCTTAATTCCTCTTACTGGTTTCTGGTCTACCAGAAGGGGAGTTCGAAAGACGATGGGGATAGATTGTTCTCAGCGGTGGCAGATGACAGAAGAAAGAGCAATGGTCTCAAGTTGCAGCAAGGGAAGTTTAGTTTAGATATTAGGAAGAATTTTCTTACTAGGAGGGTATTAAAGCACTGGAACAGGTTACCCAGAGAGGTGATGGAATCTCCATCCTTAGAGGTATTTAAGACCCAGCTAGACAAAGCTTTGCCTGGGATGATCTAGTTGGGGATGGTCCTGCCTTGAGCAGGGGTTGGACTAGATGACCTCCTGAGGTCCCTTCCAACCCTAATTTTCTATGCTTCCATTATTATATGGTCAGAAGGAATCCTGGACTGGAGAAGAAGAATCACTGGCAGAGCTGTATGGAAACTCAGGAATGCACCAGTGGTTTGGGAGTCAGGATTGAAGCACATTAGTTTGAGGAAAAAGCATTATTTTTCACACCTTAATCTTTACTTTAATTTAGTCAGTGGCAGTGCAGTTTCCCAAATAATGAAGACCCCTCCAAATGTTAAGCCACAATAAAATCCAACTGCCATCTCTCTTTTTTTTTTAAATGATCTGCGTGAATGCTATCTTGATCCCATAACATGCTATATTAATTTTCATTGTGTAAAACTTTAGGAAAGTACAAGGGTATCATCGTATTACCGGATATCTTTGCTCTCTAAAGTGATGTATGTGCCATCATATAGATCCAAGTCTCCCAAGGGCACCTTTGCTTTGATGCAGTCTGGATCCTCTTTATTATGCCTTTGTTCAAGCCCTGTGTCTCTGTCTTCATTCTCCTCTATATGTATCTTTTGAGCAACTAACTGTTTCTGTAGCGGGGAATAGAGAAAGGAAGGTATATATTAGTGATAATACAATTCATTTTCATTAACAGGATGGTTGGACAAGTCAGGTTTCTTCCAGGACAAGGCCCTGTCCAAACAAAACCTAAAAACAGGTCTCACAAATTAAAGTAGAAATATTTGCCCTTATCTAAAAAAATCTTGTAGAAATGTTTTGACTTAGCTGAAACATGCATATAGTTGTAGTAAACCTAGTATAAATTGTTCAGTGTCTCCTTTACTTCCACTTAATCCTTAGAGAGAACAATGACTACTCAAAATTTATGGCAGGTTAGTTTAGAATCAGGAACAAGAAACATTCCTTTACAATGTGCAGGCTCCTTCTATAGCATCTTCCTGCCCTTCAGGGGAAGGAAGACAAAACAAATGTTGTGGTCTGACCTACCTTCATGGTCATTAATAGTATAAAGTCTTTTAGCAGTTCATCAAGACAAGCATTGCTGAGTCAGGGGAGGAGGTGGGCAGTTAACGTAAGAGTCGAGATCAAGAATAATTTCCTCCCACAACACAGTCTCCTGGCCTCGTGCAAAGCACTGGCCAATTGGTGAAGTATATTACAGTGATTTTTCTTCTCATGAAGTATATCAGGGTATCGACTACTGCTAGAAGCCAGTGAACCAATCATCTGATCCAGCAGAGCAGTTCGTCATATTTGATTCCTGCCCAAGCTGGCACAGAGGAAACATTCAGTCACAAAAGTATGGAACAAGAAGATACTCTGGTCCTTCTACTTCACACCACAGCTGGAAATAAACGTTTAAAAGACTCCCATGGTCATGCAAGATCAAATATAGGAATGTTACTTCAGACAGGCATGTGTACATGATGCTATAACTGCAGGCAAACTTTATTAGTCTACTTAGTTTGCAAGTTAGCTATATAAGACAAACTGTGAGCTGGTGACTTAGAGACAGTCCTTCATTCAAAGAGCTTACAATATGTTATTCAACGCATTTCTAAGATGCTCCTTACCATGCTATCTAGGTTTTAATACATCAGTTTAAAGAGTGCATTAAGACCCCTTTGAGAGGAAGGTCAACTCTTCTCTCTCACTAACAAAAGTATTTAGGAGGTAAATGTTACTTAATTTGCTTCCCAATGTGCACAGGAAAGGAAATTCCTAAAAAGAACAATGGGAAGAAAGAAGATCATAGGCAGACACGAAGTGACAAGTATTGTGAAAATGTATCCATCTACAAAGATCATTCTAAATAGTAGCTAAACCAATTCAGAATGCACCCAAGGCAATGTTTCTGTACAGCTTGTGGAATTCACAGTTTCATACTAGCTAGGGTCAGGAGGGACTTGAACAGATCATCTAGCCTGACCCCCTGCCACAGGCAGGAATGAATGCTGGGTTCACAAAACCCCAGACAGGCGATCATTCAACCTCCTCTTGAATTTGCCCAAGGTAGGGGCGAGGACCACTTCCCTGGGAAATAATTCCTCCTTATTCCTGAACAGCCAAAGAGAGTTTAAAGGCATTTTTAAAAAAAAAGTTAATGTAGGTTCCATGAAAAAAAATGTAGTAACTTAGCTATATTTGAAGAAATGCAACCGAAGACAATGATAGCTGATAGGTCAGGGTGGGCAAAATACGGCCTGTGGGTTGGATTCGGCCCACGAGGCCATTCTGTCTGGCCCGCAGGGTCCCTAAAAAATTTTGAAAATTAATATTCATCTGTCCTTGGATCCTGTAAAAAATGACAGGAACCAAGGGCAGTAGGACCCAGGGGAAGCCCAGCGTGCTCCCACAACAGTAGGGCCTGCCTGGGCCTGGCCCCACCC